GAACAAAATCTAGGCCTTTTTGTCTGTCTTTATTTCCTGCCACCGCAGCACCAGCATACAGAGACTCAGAGAGGAAGCTTCTCTCACCCGATGTCAGATCCTACTCGTCAGCAAGATCAGAAGGGATGCGACTTGGAACCACAGCAGCAGGTCAAGCGCACGGCTACCAACACAACCAGAGTTTTTTCCTTTTTTGACTGCAGAGGAAGGATCGGCCTGACAGGCTGGCTGATTGCCTGCCAGGGCGTTTTCACACACTCACTTTGAAAAAACACCTGAGCTTCCCCTCGGAGGATGCTGTAGCACACAGACCATCTCACTCCTTGTGTCTCCTCACCGGACTCTCTTCTATCCCTCCACTACGTTGTCTGCTTGTTTGTTTTAATTGATTATACAAATAAAAAACAGGTAACTAAAACCCAAGACAGCTATGTGACCATATTTTGGGCTTTGCTAAGCAGCTGTGATATGATTTATGATTATGTGGTGGGGACGTGAATGCAGCCTTCTCCTAATTAATGCCAGCAGTAAACGGCCCCTATTTAGAGGTATGTAGCTTTCGACAATTACTAGTTTTAAGATTAACGACTCCCAAGTTGTTGTCTTGTACCCGCGGCTGTTTTGCTGTCTGTTGGGAGAATAAGCACCTGCGGTAAGACCCCTACGACACTGTTGAGGATTGCTGTGTCGCTCCTGAGGTGATGTACTGACAGCTCCTCATTTACTGCAGAAAAAAGGTAAACCGTTACTGAGCTGTGAACTGCATGAGGGCTTGAGAGGGCTCGCTGAGCTGGAGAAATAAGAAATGACAGGGCTCATCGACAGCGCCAATGAGAGGTGGGGAACTGCATTGTTTATACCGAAAGAAAATGTCAAAAAACGGTCAAATTACATCATTTTCACTGATTAACGTTTGAAGATGCAACAGTTTATCAGCCTGTGATGCTGAATCCTCTAACATCTCATGGTGGTTTGTGGAAAGGCTCTCAGGCTGAGTGGACATTGTGACACTTTCTGGTCACAGCTGTCACTTCGGCTGCTCTCCCGCAGCAGTCATAGCCCGCTTTTCTACACTCATCTCTCCGCTGAACAAAAGGTACCTCTGCGATCCAAAACAGAAATACTTCCACTCATCCAGGAATAACGCGAGAAAAAAAAGTGATAGTCATCAAACTAGACGACACGGCAACTGTGGTTTCCCCTCGGCTTACACCGAGACGATGGTGATGTTTGTAGTTCCATCAATTGTCTGTTTGCAGTATCTTTACAAATTCCATTCCGGTTGTCATGACAACCACACTCAACACCGTCTCTCCTCTGGGGCCACTTTCATCCATGGTGATTTTATTGTTTTGACAACAACAAAAAATGTGTTTCTTTTACAACGGAGTAGCATGGAGCCTGGTAAATCAATCGCAAACCTTTTAAATCTGGTTGTAATTTTCCAACTCAGGTGGATGGTTCTTTGTGACCCATTTTTAAAAACACTAATTGAAAGTTGTGTTACTCTGTGTGTGGCTGACAAACACTCTTGTGGGGGAGGTTCTCTTGCAAATCTAGAACTTGGGCCTGAATTATTATTTAAATACCAATAGGCATTTTCTGCATATCCTCCAAACAATCAACAACACACTTTCTAGCAGGCTTCAGCGTATGGAAGGCAGTACAGGGGGTTTACACATAGTTGGTCTTTGAGTACTGAATGACAACAACTCTTGCTGTTGTCATGAGCACAACACATAGCAACCCATCAGATGTTACCTGAAACCCACTTACATAAGTAAAGTTCAGATGCTTGAATCATTATAATACTCTATGAAAGTACCTCACAAACACGATCCAGTGAAACCTCTGGCTGCACGTCTGGATTCATAGTTAAATATTGTCAGGAGGCAATTTGAGTGTCTCGTCAGCTGCACAGATTCCAAACCAGCAGAGTTGACAGCTTGAAAGCTATCCAGTAGGAAATTCAGGCCACTGAGAAAACAACACAACGCCTCCCAATTAGAGACATACTGTACAGACTTAGTACATATCAGACAGGCCAAGCACACTGAAATGAATGCAAAATGCATGGTCACTATAACTTGTTGTTTTTAACGTTTGTGGCAGGTCGCTACCCTACCAGAGCCATGTAATGCGTCTCTACGTTACTCCTCGAATAGCCCGAAATATGGTCACTTCCATTTACTGCTTGCAAAAAAGCCAATTGGGCGACGTCAAATTGGAGGTAACCTAAACTGCAGTAAAGAAAAAATGGATAATTGACGTCACAATGACCACATCCACTTCTAATTTACAGTCCACGGGAGAGCCGGATCCCAATGACATTATGCAAATAATAAAACTGTGTACTGTGTCGGCCCAAAAGCTGTCATAAGCCACACTGAAATTAATAGCAGCCTGGAACTTTTGTGTGAAACAAACACCAGATGAGAGAAATTTCACCGCTTCACTGCGTTCCTCTTTTTCACCATCGGTTTATCCTGCACAGTTTGAATGGGGTGGGTGGGGGGGAGGGGGCATTGTTCACCAGGCAATTCACACTAACCTCTGTTAATTTTATACAGAGTTATGTGGCTCTGAATTCTATCTTGCCAGCCCACCGTTCCCCTCCATCTCTAGGATACAGTGTTTACCGAGTGGAGGACAGGACAGGCTGTCTGACATGACCTACAAATCCTGCCCGCATCAAACACATCAGTAAGACATTGTTGAGTATGACCAGACGCATTCACATATTCAGGTATACTTTGCACACATCAAACACTCCAAATAAAAGGAAGGTACATATAGACAAAAACAAGGTGTTCATTTATTCCAATGGTTGCTTAAAGGCTTATCCACAGCGCATTGTTGGTGCATTTATTATGAACAAATAGAATTGAGGATTTCACTCAAAGGCCCCAAACGGGTGTACCCTCTTACTCTGGCGGATTAGACTTGAAGTTGGGTGGAGCTCAGGGAAACACACACACAATCTCTACACCAGAGAAAGCAACAACCAGCAACACCCGTTATTGAGCTTCTAGCCTCAATAAAAAGGAATAATCCTAATTATTCATTGACCAATAAACAGGCCTGTACCTTCAAGCTAAGCCCAAAAACAAAATCTTTTCTGGAGTATATAAAATACGCTATTGCTGTAAAAGCAAACAATACTGCTCCAGTAATAAACAGAGGCGAGCACGTCTTACAGTCTACAGCTGCTCACAGACAGTAGCCCAAACATGACTTCACAACGCTGGTGGTGGTCTCTTGAGATGTCCAAGCGCAGATTCGGAATACCAATTATATTGTGTGAGCCAACGCAGTGAGGGTGAGCCATCCTCTACTGACGGAGGCGAGGACTAATTGGTCATCAGGAACATCAGGAATCAGTGTGCTTTGTACTGTAGTTGTGCTGACGCAGTAAATGTATTGATTTGATTAGCATACTTAAAGTGGGTTTTATTCATATTTGAGCCATTTAAAAAAAGGCATAATTATTCAAACTGACTCATTCACACTGAAGTCTGACATCATATTGATGACACACACAGGCACAAAATGAAAATTTTGCCATCTTCTTGATATCATATTGATATTGGTCTTGACCACATCTGACACCCCCTGCTGAGACAAAGCCTGCCAACTTCCTGTCTACTAGATCCAGCTCCGTGATTGAAGCTCTTCATCTTGTTTACAGGGAAAGTCTGCCAGTGTGCTGCCATTGTCACTTGTCAAACAACTTTTAGAATAATGTCATGTCATCACTCTACAGACAGACAGATAGACATATTGAGTATTATAAAACGGGGGGGGGGGGGGGGGGCAGACATCCAGTTCATCTGCCAACAGACACAGTAGGATGCTTCGGCTTCTTAATGCGCTCCCATCGCATACGTAACAAATGCGCTGCACCGGTCAACTAATTACGCGTGAGCCGGGATGAGGGTTCCCACCAACCGGAACAAACGTCGGCCCAGCACGACGCGCACGCAAACAAATTGGTTTGAATGGTTTACATGTCAACATGGGGGAAGCTTACCTGTCATAACTCCACCTACTGTAAGACATGCTCCTGTTGCCGCTGACTCCCTCCATGACGCACCGGACGGACTGGACCGGCTGTTGAGACGGATCAAAGCGCGAGCCAACGGGAACTACCCGAACCGAACCGCCGTTAGATGACTGAGCAAGGGAGGCTGTGCACAGCCAGGCGCGCGCCCTCCCGTGGGCTGTACCACCGCGGAGAGGGGAGCGCGCACGGCGCGTGGTAACGTGCAGCCTGCTGACTGGGTCCTGCGTGTCAGTGGAGCGTCCGAGGCACTTGCGTGCAGTTGAACGAGCGTATCCATGAATGAAACTGGGATTTGTTTATTGGGATCATTTTTCGGTCTTGTGCACCGCTTGAGGGGAAACACAACCATTTCATCCATTTGCTGGTTAGTTGAAAAAGGAATCTCTCTCTCTCTCTCTCTCTCTCTCTCTCTCTCTCTCTCTCTATATATATATATATATATATAGAAGCTAGCTTTTTCCTGGTTCTGTACTTTTCGCTGAATCTAATTGCATGGGCATGTGTGCACTTTCAATAACAAACTGCTGCAGAATTTCAATGGGACTTAATTATTCATATTTTTCACAGGGCCTGGCTCACTGCTGATTGGGTGCAGGTTAAAATCCCTGCTTTTCTAAGATAAGCAATGGGATGTCTGTATAAATTAGGTTTTGTGCAAACGTTGACACACTCAAAAACAAACCGATCATAAGGTGAACCAATCAGGAGAGGAGATGTTCAAATGAGTTCAAAAGGGATGCAGGAAATCCTTTTTAGAGGCCATTTCAACATTGTGTGAATCACATTTTCCACCCCAATAACCTTCTGTATCCTGCAGGAGATGTGTAGGTCCTTCTTCTTTCCCCACCTACCTCGTTTTCTCTTGTCTGTATCATATTCTGCCGGGGCTGGAAATTACCATAAGAACATTAGGTTTGACTATAATTGGGATGCACAGTAGAATTTACGAACGGGTTTTATTATTGAAATGCTGATAGTGACGAATGCAAGGCCAGATGATGCACAACACACACAAAAACATGTTACACATACAACTGAATCAAGACTTCATGCCCTTTGTTATTTCATCATTTAGATTCTCTCTTTGCACATTCAGTCGATGGCTAGGACTGCACATAATCTTCTATTCAAAGCACTTTCTGAGAAACATACAGAGAAAACCTATTATCACAAACACAATTGCAGCACAAATTGTGAGTGAAACTGTGGAATAATTGTGTTTACTGAACTGTCTGAGTGAGTGTGTAGGATGCGGGTAGTAGATGGTTTGATTCGGTTGAAAAAGATGTGAACCTCACATGGACTTCATATCTCAGCTCCACTGAACACCTATGGGACCCTTCGGGACGTTTCCATTACCATCATCAACACACACACATTGAAGGGATATCTGTTAAATGAGTGGGGCTCGTCCCAAACTGTGCGACAGAGCACCGAAGCTGCTCCTGATGGGCCGTCACCTCACTAAAACTCTTTATGTTGCATCTTTTGTCTTTTTAATGTATAACCTATAATGTATATATCTCAAAAACATTTCCTTGATTAAAACAAGCCCCCTTTAGTCAAACGCACGTATGGATCCGTAATGTCACTAATCTGACAACGAGAGTATTTTCAGCATCTACTTTAAAAAAAATGTAAAGTAATATTACATTGTACATTAATAAACATTAGACTGATGCCGTGGCAGTCAAATTCAGCCACGAGTATTTTTACAAGTTTTAATAAATACAAACCCAAAACATGGAAAACAAATTAATAATAATGATCTCACTACGACTATGCTCTGCATGTAAAACAGGTCGGTCTAAAAATATAATTCTCTACCCATCTGGCTCAAAGACAGATTTTATTGTGGCACCAAAATCTAGACATAGGGCAACATACATAAATATGAAGGAAAAAGAAGGAACAAATTAGTATGGAGACGTCGTATTAGACGTATACTTGGATTGGGATGAAGATGGAAGCAGGTATTTTGAATCTCAGGGATTATAATAATTCATCCATGTGATTTTAAGATCATTTCTAAGAACCCTGTCCCACTGGACCTGGCGTTTTACACTCACTCACATATCAATATATTCTCCTTTGTTAAGCCACAAGCCACAACATTCTTGATCACATCTGAGTGAAGAATTAGACTTTTGTAAATTTGGGCCAACAGTTATCCTTATTTTAAATAATTAAACATCCCTCTCTACATATATACACAGCCATGCTGTGTATTCACTTATAAACATATAAAAATACTTGTCAACTAGTTTGATAAGAAAATAATGTATAAAAGTAGAGTAGAAACATTTAATCAAGTCTGTTACTTCCATCATCTGAGTTACGTTGATGATTACACAGGGTGAGGCGATGAAAAACAAACCGGCAGTACTCCATTTATACGGCCAAACAGATGAAGCAGAGAGGAGGAGCCAGAACGGCGCCTCGTGTCTGTGGTGACGATTATTCCACGGGTGGCAGGTCCCGTTGAGTTCATGACCTGTTGGAGAACGACTGTTTCACGACGCGCATCTCAGCGCTTCCACTTGTCCTGGTTTTGCCAGGCGACCGATCATTGGGGGGTAAAAGTAACGCAACAGAATAATTGAGCGACACAAAACAGATGCATTGCCACTGTGTTATTGGAATGATACAACAGTTAGTTTATCTAAATCGTGGACTAAATGTATGACAGAGATTCTTTAACCTGGAATGATCTGAACTGAGCTCTGAAAGCGTCTTGATTTGCAACAAATTAATTTGAGGACTTTTAATTGTCAAGAGTTGAATATGGAGCATACAGTGTTTTGAGCTGAAATCACGTTAGTTGTCAGATGTACAAAGTGCTACCAACAAAAGGATCCTCGGATTCTTAGAAATCTGATGTCCAATTTCAAAGATAGAAAGTCAGAACCATTTGCTACTTTCGGTAGATTGAGGAGATGGCAAAGGATGAGAAGGGATCAATCTATACAACTTTTGAAAAAATATCAGATACAGTAGACCCTTCAAAGCCAGAACCACAGACAGAGAAGAAGAATCCACTGCAAAAGAACAGAAAGTTCTATCATTGTAGCTTTAAGGGCTTTCTAGACTTTATATTAATATACATACTTATATATATATATATATATATATATATATTCACTTTCATGTATGTAAAACCAAACTCAACCTCACACACTGAACTGTGGTGATTTAATAGATCATTAGAAGTACACTTTAAAAATCACAACAAATGTCACATATGTACAGTAGCAGATAAGCACATGGGAGTAAAAGGTGGATATGGCACGACATAAACAAAGCTTCATTAGATAATCTCTTTGCTCTGGTCAGACGCTAGAAACTAAACAAACTCATTAACATTCTGGATATATAGTTTTCATTCAATCTCGGTAGCAACTACAAATGTCACTACAAGGCAAGAGAAGTCCTTCAGAGTACAAAACATGAATTTGTCAGGCGGATTTCGGAAAGGCCATGTTTAGTGTTGGGACTCTCTCGTGTAAATTAGATTACAGCTGAAGGTAGAGTGGTGTTCAAATTTGGCATTGTCAGTTGTCCACAGCGATGTCCTGGGGACAGCGCTTCCTGGTCAAAGTACCTCAGAAAAGGCTGTCTGAAGTCATGCACGAGGAGAAGGCAGCGGTCAGTCATCCACCGGGGATGTGATGTTAGGCAGAGTGGGTCGCAGCTGCATGAGTGACAGTGATAAGGCCGCCTCAGACGATCACACAATGGCAGCCGCTCTTGTCTTTCTCTTTCCTTGTAGGTTCTGGCGAGGGGGGACATTCCTGCTCCTGGAATTTCCTGGAAGTTGGGAGAGAGTAAAACTATCGTGACACACTGGCCCAGCACAATATTTGAATCAGAAAGTGATGATATTTGTTGGGGTGTTTGCTTATGGATCCAGGTGACTTTTAATCAGATCTGATGAAACCAGGCACAGGCTTGATTAGGCAAATACACACTTTTAATCAATAATGTTTAAGTTATTCAAAACTTTAATTCATTTAATCATTTTTAAATTTCTTAGTAATTAATGAATTCATTGTTTTTTTAATAATTCATTAATAATTCTTTGGGGGGGATCCCATGTCTTTTATGACTGGCTGAGAGTAATGGGGAAGGGAAAACCGCAGAAAACGAAGTGAACCAGTGGAGTTGTGATTTAGGATCAACCTCCTTCCTGTGGCACTCCGTTGTTCATATCCAATGTAACAATGTAGAAAAACCTTGACTGTATTCTGCATTATTAACAGCTATCAAAAACTGCCCCAATCTTTCTTAACTCTCAGTCATTGAAGGGAGAACAATGTAAAAGGTGCATTTAGAAATCACCCACCTGATTACTCGAACCATCTCGTGGAAAGCCTGGTCTACATTCATACGAATTTTGGCTGAAGCCTACATATATGTGACCTTCAGTTGTCTGGCCAACTGCTGGCCCTCTTCCTGGGTTACCTGAGGAAAAAGGATGAGATACTGATGTTGGACTGAAACCTTATTGTAATATTATCTTCTGACATGCTGAGATGAAGCAGTGAAGTATAATGACATCGGGAAAGATGTACACAAAGTAACAGAAATATATTAATCGTAAATCTTTTTTTAAAGTGTTACTTTTTGTATAATTTCTATAAGAGAACTACGCTCAAGCTTTTTGAGTTATGTGTTATCTCCATCGTCTGTCATGTTTGTCATTTTACGGAATAAAACCGTTTAATGGTTGTGTCTGTGTGTGCCTGTAGGGCTCATTTTCACCACAAGGGGGTGGTGGTGATTCACTGCAGGCAGTGATTAGCTACCGCATACCAACAGGCAGAAAATTCATCATTTCATCACACTCCCTTTTCTCTTCCATCCTCCCCTCCTGACACCGCCATTTCTACAGAATCCTTTCTTTCATTCTTCCGCTCACATCTTGCGGTGTCTTAGGAAGCGAGCTGCTGCCGCGACGCTTGCTTCCACTTTCAATAAAATGTCAACGTAAATCTTCCAGTTGATATCATCTTTTCAGATGATCAAACAGGGTGAATGTTTGCCAGCCAGTGGGTTCATATCTCTGCAATCTGTTGGACTTACTTGTCTTTGTTGTTCCAGATCGGCTTTGTTTCCTACAAGGATCATAGGGAACTCATCTCGGTCTTTCACCCTGAGGATTTGTCTTTGGAATTTGTAGATTTCCTCAAAGCTGTAAAACGTATTACACGGTGTTAGGTGATGTTATCTGCACAAACAGTCATTTTTAATGCTTAGATGTGTACGAAAATCACTAAATGTCCTGTGCTCGACATTGCAGTGTAGCCAATTGTCCCACACAACAACGCGCACACACACACACACACACACACAAGTTGGGTTGAACGTGTCGGCAAAAAGAAGAAATGCCAGCCGCACTATTACAGAAACATAGAATGCGTTTGAGGTTTGGCCGTGTGCAGTAAACTGACCGCGGTCCCACGATAACATAAACGCAGTGAGCAAATAGAAATGTCCATCAGGGGGGAGAAGAGGCGGCGTGCGACCACAAACCCAGGATGCCATTCCAGCTACGGGCTGGCAGGCAGCTCGGATGACACATAGTAAATCTGAAAAAGACGTGTCTGATATAAGTGGAGGAAGGAGACAGTTTACTACGTAAACAATGTGTGTGTTGTAGGTCGGGGGCTGCTGTGCGGGGAACACCGAGACGGGGAAGATGGGAGAATATTCTATGTGTAATAACGCATGGTTCCTTAAGCAGAGAAACATCCGATGGCATTTAGATCGCTGATGTCCCTTTAACCATCTGATTCTCAAGGTTTCTTTAGTATTAAATCTCACCCGTCATATCACAGGCAACAAGGGTGTTGCCATACAACATGACAGAAATCTTATAATTTATAATGATATAGGGTTTTGCTTATATTTTTGGAAACGTTTGACAGTTTTATACGCTGTTTATTCCATGTTCGCTTTGCTCTGTGGAAGCTGATTGTATGATCACATAAAATGAAAGATGACGGTTTTACAGTAGAATTGCATGATTACTTCAAGATGTGTGAACATTTTCTAGATATAGTGTGCATCTTTTTATACATTTCCCCAAAAATACAAGCCAACATATTTGGTGTCTTTGATGTTTAGCTTCGCATCACGTCTGTTACTCACTAGCGGGTCAGCGAGGTTTGAGTTTAAGTGTCGGTTAGTCCTTAATTCTGCCAAACCCTTAACTTAAGATCTCTCTAAACCAGCGCACATGCGATGGTTTAAATAGCACATGGGCTCTAAAAGAGGAAGCGTTGGTCCCACGCCAAGTGTAACAAGCTTGTTACAAAATGAAAAACACAACAAGAACAACATCAGAGCGAGGTACGGAAGTACCAGCGGCAACAAGTGAGAGTATCGTTGCAAAGTTTTATTGTTTTGCGAGAGGCCGAAGGGGAGTGAAAGCGAGCGTGTAGCTGTGAGCAATAAACGGAGATGGACAAACAGACGGTGAGTGCGCATGCAGCAGTGACTTTGCACATGATGAGAACTGCCACTCACCTTCCTCTGTCGGTGACTGAGAAGACGAGCAGGAAGCCCTCCCCTGTCCTCATGTATTGTTCTCTCATGGCTCCAAACTCTTCCTGTCCAGCCGTGTCGAGGACTAGAGGGAGCGCACACACACGCACACACACACACACACACATACACACACACACACACACACACAGAATAACTTTCAGTTAAATATCATTTTGCCATCAATTCCTCAAGTAAAATATAATAATGATGATGATAGAGACGTACGTCTGGAATACATTGGTCTGTATGTCTGTATATTTATTCTGGACGTGTTTGTTTAAAATAGTGCACTTACTGTCGAGCCTGGCCGCCCTTTCGTCAATCACACACTGCTTGGTATAAGAATCTTCAATGGTTGGGTCATAGTCGGTGACAAAGTACGACTGCAGGAGAGAAAGACGGGGAGGAAACTGTCAATACGTGTGGAGTTATCATATTGTACGTGTACACATTATTTCAGGTTGAGACCCAAGCGCATGTCCAGTCACATACAGAGCATATACACACCATATATATGAGAGTATTCAGTACTGATCTTTGAAATTAGTGTGCAAAAACCAACAAACCAACAAGCTCTACTGCTCTACATAAACAGGAAATGCAGCAAAAGTGTCACAGTGCAAAGGACAATCAAACTGCAACTTTCACTCAACACTGCCATTTATATGAAAAGACAAAAGAGTTTCGAGGGGTGGGGGGAGTTGGGAGGTGTTCCTATAGCTGTTTCACCACCATCCACAATTCAGTGTTTGCAGCTGCAAGCAGCTCATGCATTTTTTTGCCTTGCCTAGTAGGATGTTATTGTCCACTGCTTACTCTGTACATTTTATATGTGAGATCGAGCGGGGAATGAGTGGAAAGGCGATGTCATAATGACTGGCAATGAGGTAGGTACTCTGTCCAGACCGCCGCTGTAATGCCCTCTACCTGTGTTCACCTCCTACCTTCAGACAGGAGGTAAACAAACAGTCTGTAGACACTATGAATGTCACGGTAATATTTCCTCCCACAACCACCAGTGCTCAGCTCGGACAGCAGGCCATTTTTCGTGATATTTACACATTAACCAAACACTTGCGATAGTCACACCACTCAATCCTGAAGGCTTTAATTCTTCCACCGTTGGGCCAATATCTGGTCTCCTAGCAACCTAAACTGGAAGGGTGGGGCCAGGGGGCAGGGAGCCGGTCGGGGGATGTCATGCATTTTTTACATTTTTCCCATGTTTTGTAGTTCTCGCTCTGCTCCAGGACGAGTCAGGTGGTGACAGCTGAGGGGAGCGCTTGGGGAATGTCAAAGCGACACGCTAGAACACAGAAAATCTAACAGCGAGCCAAATTGACTAAGAGAGAGAGTTGATTGAGTGATAAACTGCTCGATCACCATTACACACCGTCTTTAAGAAGGCGGTGAAAGTCCTGCTCTAATTCTATATCTTGCAGAAAACAATCAAATGTATGACATTGAAAATGTTTATGTCATTAGCTTTTAAACTATCAAATATCAATATCCGCTATAGTCTTATGCTCTACTTTTGATAATGTGGATGTTTGTGATCCCAACTCACTGTACATAAACCCTTCCTGTTGTTGCAGGTTAGGGCTCCCTATCGCGTGCGGACCGGTGTCACGTCCACTCACCACGGCCCAGTAATTCAGTATTACTGCGTGCCGTGGAACAAGCTCCGCTGCAAGTCTGCCTCCTTCAGAGGGCCAGACGGGCACAGAAAGAGAGCAGGACAAAGAGAAAAAGCTGCTTGTTTTTCTGGTTCCTCCCACCAGCACCAGCGCTCTGCCAGCCGTGGCTTCAGCACGTGACCTCGGCTTCCTGTCAACTCTTACTCTTATTCCGTCAACTTGGGGGAAGGGGGGGGGGGGAGGCGCGGCATCGAGGGCCGCGCTCCTTCGGGCTAGTCCTCCTCTCCCCCGCGCATGTACGGGCAGTGTGGCGGCCCGGCGCTCTGTTCTGGCTGAGCTGATTCTCTCAGAGTCGTTTCCCGTGATAGATGAGGCTGTTCTGCTGTGCCAGCAGCAACAGAGCCAGCACTAATGGGGCAGTGGGCCGGGTGAGGGAGTGCAAACATGACTCAGGAGGACTACCAATAACTATGTGACATAAGCCAGCTTGAGTCATGTCCAGTAATACATAAATCCTTATATCAGTCCATGGCTTCATCAGATAGAACGGCATGAATCACGCTGCAGGAGTCCGGTAGAGTTGCACCAAGCTAGCAGCACCCAAGTTGACTTTGTAAGTATTTTTTACATATTGGTTGATTACATATTTTTGGTTTGAAGTAATAACATGCCCAATTTTATTTGGGCAAACTTTTAGGAAAACAATGAACCTCTTCATTCATTTGCCTTTTGTGTGTAGAGCCCAATGCGACTTTTTCTATTGTCTTTCAACATTTCAGGTTTAAAAATGACAGGTTATCATTCTATTCCCGTAATTTGCTGCCGGTGCCGCAATTCCAGTGTCCTATTGACATAATAAAAGAAAAATGTCAGGTGTTATCTGACATATTTACAATACAAGCAGTGGCGTCAACATACTGAGGGGCAGACAGATTCCCCTGAAAGACAGCTGGGGTCAAAGTTCACTCACACACAAACACACACAGAGGGAGAGCAGCACACACAGTAGCTTGTGCACTAGATATTTAAAAGATGAACTAGTAAAAGCCTCTTTTTGTATAAATTGCCCAAGAGCACTGACCACGATGCCCAAGTTGAGGCATTTACAGATGAAGCGTCCTGCAGCTACTTTGCAAAGGTGCATTAGCGTTTAAACAGAGCCGACAACATGGGGCAAGAAAGCAACTGAAGCTTCCCTGAGACAAAATCAGGCCAGTGCTGACATGAACCGACATTGTGGCCGTGTGCATCTGTGAGCTCCAGCTGTAGATATTCTAATCCACTAAAAGGAAACTGTTGCAACGACCCGCTTCACAAAGCAGCACACTAGGTAGATCGAGAGAACAAAGTAAAACAGTGGATGAAATCATCACGCTGCAGCACAGTTTAGACGTTGTTGGGGGGGGGGGGTCCGGCTGCTCTCGGCCCTCTCACCAGGAAGGAAACTCCACCTCCGCGGCAGGCAGCAGGCCCAGCCGAGCCTTAAGGTGGTGGTGATGTCACACACGACATGTTTCCCTCCCCACCTATCAAAGTCCAAAATTGTCGCTCGGTTCCCTTCCATTCCAGCCATACATCTCAGCCCCCCCCCTCCCCACCCACCCACCCACTTCCCCCACCCACACACTGCACATGCAGGCTCGCACCACGGACACAAGACGGGTCTCGGCTGCAGCACAGCTTTTTTGTGGTGGGGTGTTTTTTCTCTCTGGAGGCTTTGTGAATAACAGGCGAAATGAAATCACACCACAATGGAGAAGAAAGACAGAGTCGAGATATGAGGGCCGGCGCTGATGATCATTTTCATTATCCATTACCGTCTTGGCCATTCTTTTTGGACCGATAAATGACACACTTTGTCCATAAATAATTCTGCTATAAAGGAATGCTAAATGCCCACAAAAGCCCAGTTGCCAAAACAGATCCAATTGACAATTATGTAATAGAGAGGAGAGCAGAAAATCGTCACACTTGAGAGGCTGGAACCATAAAAGATTTTGCAGTTTTACTTTAAAAAATGGCTTAAAGGATTCCAAGATTAACAAATTGGCTGATATACTTCCTGTGGATCAACTCTAGACAAATACTTTAGCCATTACCTAATACATAATAAGTACAAAAACCCGAACCATCGGAAAACTCAAAGAGGGCATCGAATCATCGTGTTTCGCTGTCTTACAAACTGCCTCACTATTCAATTTTAAGCATCAAATGTGTCGCAGCTTGTCTTTGTTTTGTTTTTTTTCTCCTAATTTGAATACACTCGTGCATTCATTTGAAGCGCCTTTTTTGTTTTCTTTTTCGCCAACTGCTGTTCAGTCGAGACATAAAGCAATGACTCCTGTCTGACTTCCTGGTTGCCAGGCTGAAGGAAAGCAAGAGCGGGTGATACGTGTAGGCGTGTAATCAACATCGTGCTTGCACTGTGCACCCACTTCCTCTCCCCACGAACAGCTACACGACAACTAAATATAGGTCGCTTTCCACCTCTGTCTCTTATCCCACTTGTTGTGTCGGAGGCTCTGACTGTTTAGCGCGTATAGCATCATTTGCTCTACAAAGCACAAAGCCACACATTCAGCACCAACGCAGGAAAAAGAAGAGAGATTCATACTGCGTAAACATTGTAACAAAAGCACACGGCTTCTGAAGAGATGACTAGGTTGTCATCAACGTGGTGATGAGATGAGAGACCACGCACCTGGACTGGACAACACTCCCTACTACAACAACAACAACAACACTATACTTTTGTTGTTTTTGGAGAGGCACAGAAACAGTAAGAAAGAGCACCAAGACGCAGGATAGGATTGGGAAGTGTGGGTTGGGGGGGGGGGGTCTCCACCTGGCAGGTGGAACATGTTCGGAGGGCCACAGCCGAGTGCAGCAGTTTCAAAAGAAGCCACTAACATCTGGTGCCTGCCGGGTCGCACTTCCAGTTTAGCAGCAGCAGAGAAAATTGTGAAATTCATTTCCGAGAAAAACACACACATTACGTGGCAAAAGATGCACCGCGCCATACATCTTCACGCCTTCCTTTCTTTTCGTTGTTTTCGTCAAATGAACTGATATTATGCATGTAATTAACATCATCTTTTTGAGACACATATGCTTCTTTCGTACCTCTACACTTTACCTCCCAGCCGTTGTGGTCGGTGGTCCAGCTCTACCTGGTAACCTGGGCAACGGGCCGAAGCAGAGCAGCACGGGGCATCGTTTAAGAGAAGAGAAGTCGGATTGGGACATCTGTGTATTATTAACTCCTGTCCCCAAACCAGCAGAGGTGTAACCTTCGGCAAACTTCTCTGGTTGCACACTGGACAGCTGTTGGTAATCAAATAGCCACCAAGAGGGTTGAACGTTCGGCAGATGGAAGCGAGGACCAATTCCTTTGCATTCTTCCACCGCGCGCCCTCCTCCATAATCGCCAGCGCTCATCCGGTTTCACACGAGTGGCCCAGGAATGAGGAGCATTGTTTTGTTTCAGTACTTTAGAGTGCGGTAAGTGAGGAATAGTGTTGCGGGGTGTGTGTGTGGGGGGGGGGGGTCCGAATGAAAGGTTTGAGGGGGGGAGGGAGACTGTAGGCAACTATGGAGAGGGAGAGCAAGAGAAAAAGAGGGGGAGGGAAAGGCATTAACTTCCTGTGGAAACACCCACTTTTTCCCATGAGCTCATGCAAACCATAAAGGTCACTGATTCAATACCTAATACACGCGGAGACAGGAGAGAGAGAGCGAGCACACAA